ATAAATTATTCCACTCTTGTGGTAACATGTGGTAGTCCTGAGCTGTTTGGGAGCTGAGTGCTTGTTTGTGAGGGAGGGGATTAAAAGTTTCTCTGGGTTAAAGCTTCATCTCGTTCTTTTCACAGACACTGTGCACAACACTTGTGTATTAGTTGCTTTTGTAATCTGCATTCAGCAGTTTTTTGACCTCTTCCATTGAAATTTCTTGCTAGGACAGCAGCAACTGTGGCATAGAAATCACTTATTAATTAGGTATACATAGCTGTGTCTCCTTAAGGTGTATTTTTGTGTCTTTTTTTATTGGTTGAACTGTGGAAACTGTACTGGGTTACTCAACTAAAACAATTCTCAACAGGGCCAGAAATACTTTGGCACTCCTGGGGATTAGCAGGTAATTAAATCCAGAAGGGCCTTAGAGCTTCAAGTGAAGTTAACTTTGCTGTGATTTGAATGTGTACAGTGTATTCAGTGTCCATATAGAAATGGAGCATTAGTGATGAAGTTCTGTGCTGGAATCTGTCTGAGGATAGATGAAACTTAGAGGAATTGAAGTTATTATTCCCCAAGTTCTCTGGCGCTAAGGAAATGTCCAACTTCTCTTTGCCTTCCAGTTCACTTACAACTTGTGAATTGAGCTGTGTGATTTTCTTACTTTAAAGGCAGAATAACAGTAACTAGTCTTCAGAGATGGGTTTTTTTGTCCTTTTATAAGGGAAGTAATCAGTTTGGATAACTAGAAATGCCAAGTCACCTGTCAAAGTCCTGTTTCCTTTGAGGTGCAGCAACATGACTACTGAAGATACCCTGAACTTTGTGATACTTGTGTATGGAGATGACTTGTGCTTGGAGCTGACACGTTCAGTGATAGCCTAGAAAATCACCTGCCTTTTCTCCCACCCTCCTTGCAGGAGGAGGAAAACCATCAGCAGTGAATCAGCTACTTAGAGAGCAGCCACTGCTGCTCGAACTGTGTTTGATGTGTTTTCTATGTAGCTGATAATTAGCGAGCCCAGGGCTTTGGGAGTGAGAATGCTGCTGTTCATCTGTTGTTCTTTCAGTTGACTGGACTCCAAAAGGCTACAAAGAGTAATGCCTGATGGCTGCTTGGTGGTGTGTAAATAGTCAGGCCTTGCCTGTCACTGAGCACCACTTCCCTCAGGCCCCCAGGGCAAGCAGAGGCTGAGCAGCCTGGTGGGACCTGGGGCTCAACCTCCTGCTTGGAGCTGCTTTGGGTCTTCCAGACAAACAGGACCTTAGCTCAACGATCCACATTTTAGACTAGTGCTAAACCATCAGGATATTAAGTATTCTTTAACTTGCAACGATCTAATTCTGTTGAGTATTAAAACAGCAGCATTGAAGCCTCAGCTTGGTATCTCCTGTAGGGCAAAGCCAACCATGGTGCTGGAATGGAATTTTATTCCAGTTTAAAACTTGCATTTCTGTTGTGCTTTGTGTGAAAAGTTAGGTTTCCAAAGCAGATCCTTCTCAGTGTTTCAAGTATTTGCACTGAAGTCATTTAAGCAGCCAAAGCAATAGGAAAAAAGGAGGATTGCAGCTGGAATAAACTTCCAGCATGAAGGAAGATGAACTGCAGCATTATCAGCAATTCCTTGATAAAACTGAAAAATCATTCATGCTGTCCTTGCCAAAAATGTTTTATTTTGTAGGATCAGAATCCCGAACTCAAATAGGCTGATTTTTTTTTTTCTTCCCCACACATAGCATTGCTGTAGCTCTACATTCCCCTTCTGTTTTCGAGGGTTGGCATGGCTTCAAATCTGCAAGCTGAGTTGAAAAGAGAGCAGAGCAGCCTGGCTGGGCTGTGCTGGAGTTGGCTGTTCAGACTTGAGTGAGCCTCATTCCTGACATTCCTGGCTTCTGAGGGTTTCTCTGGGCAGAGGGATGAAATGCCAGCCTGAATAGGCCCTGCACAGTGAGGGCTGCAGCCCCTCTTTATTTGCACAGGAATAAAGGTTCACTTCTCCCTGTTGAATGAGAGCAGGAAATTTCCTTTGTGGATGCTGCAGCATGAGTAGTTCAAATGGTTCCTGTTTGTTCTGCCACACACCACCCTGGAGAAAAGGTGTTTGAATATTCCTCCTAGCTCACATCCCTGCAGAACTGCCTATAAAAGTGGATTTATTCCAGCTCAGCATATTTAATGTGAGAAATTCAGGTGGGGAAGCTGAAAAGAAAACCCTTGAAACCACCTCAGCTGCAGCTGACACAGTAGAAAGGAGTCTCAGGGCTGGAGGTGGTGACTCTGTGTATACATAAATACATGCTGATGGACATATATGGTGTGTTGCATCCCTGAAGCCTGGTGAGTGAGGAGATAGGTATGTGTCTAAGGAATTAGTTTCTGGGTGAGGCTTTTTTGGAGACTCCTTTCTAGCCCAGCAACCATTTGGCCTGGCATTAAGGATCTTCAGTCCTGCCCTTACTTGCTGGAGCTTGGCACAGGGAGAGGTGCAAGCCAGGCAGTGTCTCTGTTGGCCTGTCCATGTCACAGGGCAGTGCAGGTGGCTGGTTAATGGCACATTGTTCTGTCCAGGGCAACTAACTTGGCCCTGGAGCTGCAGGATGGCTAACTGAGCCCTGGGGCTGCAGGCACTGTAAGAGCAGTGCTGGAGATAGCTGGGGAGTAATTAGGAGTGGAAAATGCTTCTTGATAGTCCCAGTGAGTAGTTAACTACAGGTCACCTCGCTCAGATTTGTGCCTAACTTGTCATCTCGTGCTGCAGACAGCTAACTGTCGTGTGAGGAGCAGTTTCTGACAGCTGCCTCTTTGTCAGATTGACATCAGATAGGAAGATGAGGGTTTGAATCAAATAGGCTTCGTTCAACAAATTACCTTCTGCTACCTAGTTTGGTAATGCTTCATCCCCCATGTGTTACTCTTGGATTTCAAAAACAACATTCCTGGGATTCTTGACTTCTTCCCTGCAGAAGAAGCTGTCCAACTGAAGTCATGTTCACACCATCCCCTGCTCTGCCTTGTGCAACAGCATGAGCTGTCTGTCAGTTAAAAACTCGAGGAATTCTTCTAATCCCGTTAATAGTCTGCTCAGCCTCCCAGGCCTCACAGCCAATTAGTTCCAGGGAGATGGGAAATTGGTGGGATAATTAGCTGATAACCCCCAAAACTCTTGAAAGCTGAGTTCTGTGCTGGGGTTTAGGTGCATGAGAAAAATGCAGAAATGAGGATGGATGGTTAAGCAAATGAATTTTAAGTTTCAGGCATGTGTTTTAAAGCCCAAGTCCTTGCCCTATTGGGCCACTTAGCTGCTTTAAGTGCCCTTTTAAATCAGAAATTCATTCTCCTCAGGACGTGAAGCTCAGCAGAGTTAAGGCCAAAACAAATGGTGACAGAGTGACTGGAAATTGTTAGATTAAGGCTCATTTTTTGCCCCAAATCTGTTGCCACACTCACCAAATGTTTAAAATGATCTTCCTGACTCTGGATATGTTTCTACCTCTGCACATCCCTTCACAGCTCTGGAATTAAACCATGCACAAAGTGCAGTGTTGCACCTACTCCTGTTCCACCAGATTACTAAATTAGCTTTGATCTCCTTGATAGAAATCTGGTTTATGGGCTAAACATAAACATTTATTGCAGGCATGGATTGGTTTCCAGATTAATGAGGCTTTCTGTGACAGATAACTTGCATGCCTGCCTACAGCTGGGATTCAGTCCTGCTGGATTCCTGCTTTCATTTGAAGCGAGAGTTCCTTCTAAAAATTGCCAATATCCATGACAACTAAAGCTGCTTTTTGCTCTTGGAATATTTGTTTTAAATTAACTGTTAGACAAATCAAAACTGATGAATTTCAAAGCTTTGTGTGGGTTTTGCTTTTTCCACAACTGTGGCAAATCTGCTTTGAAGAAGCTTTTTGGAGTTGAAGGATTTGTTCTCCAAGTCAAATCCCTGCAGGTTAATGCTGGGACTTAAACTTGGCATGACCCGATTTCCCTGCCCTTGTTACTGGGAGCATCCCAAGCTTTTGGTGGGAGATGGCTCACTGGGGTGCCATCACTTTTAATTACTTGGGAAAGCTGGTGCTTGCTGGAGGTGAGAAACAAAGGGAGTGTGGAGAAATGAGCAACTGCAAGGAGTGTTTGGGGGGTGCAATGCTGTTGGAGAAGAGATGGGAGTTGGGTGCTGCTACAGAGCTTCACTGAGAGCCTCTCCAGGCCTTCTGAATAAGCTTGAATGGCTGCAGGAAGGGAAAAATATCAACTAATAAAATACATAACTAATCAAAACGTTTGTTTCCCTGTAGGGTCTCCTTATTATGACAATGTCCGTCCACTCTCCTACCCAGACTCTGATGCTGTCCTGATCTGCTTTGACATCAGTCGACCAGAAACTCTTGACAGTGTGCTAAAAAAGGCAAGTGGCTGAGAAAGTTTGGAGCACAGATCTCTTGGGGAAGCTTGTCTTGAAAATCCCTGCAGAGTGGCACTGCTCCTGCACTTCACTGTGTTTCTTTTGGTGAAGAATCATCGCAGAATCAGCAGCAGCATAGAATTTTAGGGGTTAGAATGGACCTTAGAGATCACCCAGCCCCAACCCCTGCCCTGGGCAGGGACACCTCCCACCAGAGCAGGTTGCTCAAGGCTCATCCAACCTGGCTGTGAACACTGCCAGGGTTGGGGCAGCCACAGCCTCCCTGTGAGAGAACTGTGCTCTGCAGGGCTAGAGTTTGAGCTCATTTGTTTGCAAGGGATGAATGTTAATTGAAAACAAAAACTCACTCATGGATGCTCAAGGCTGAAGCAAGTTCTCATTCCCCAGCCCTTAGACAGCAGTGGATTGTTGAGGAGGGTGGTGTGAGGTGGTGCAGGGCTGGGTGCAGCAAGAAATTGTCTCTCACATTTTGTTCCTACCAACAGACAGGACTGAGAAGCTTTGCCATGTTGCAGAGATGGTTAAAACATTCCTGACAAGGGTTTGGACTTTTGCCACGGCTTTACATAATTTCTCAGCCTGCTGTTAGAAGGAGCCAGTGACAAATGCCTCTGGAAAGCACCACCAGACTTAGCAGTGCCATAGAAATGCAGCTCTACACTCAACTTTCCATGAGATCAGTGATCCAAGATGCAGTGTCAGACTTCCCCTGAGTTGAAACAGTGAACATGGTGATAATCAAGCTCTGTGTTCTAGGTGGTCCTGGTGCTCTTCCTGGTCACTGGGCATGACTCAGCTTTGCAGTGTTTTTAAGGCTTAATGACCTGAAGTTCCTTTTTATTCTCCAACTGGGGCCAGTGATTCTTGTCTCACTGGGATAAAGTGGCATACACAATGCCCTGAATGGGCTACAGAAACTGCTTAAGAGAAAAATACTTATTCTCTCACCTACCAACTGTGCCAACAAGCAGCCAGAGCTGCTTTTCCTGGCCCTGATAATGTTGGTGACTATCCTGCTGCTTAATTCTGCAAGAGATTTTTCTTAATATGCTTTTAAACCCAAATTAGAGCCTTAAAATTTAGGGCTTGTGTCATTTCTTCAGATTATGATGCTGTAATTCTGCTTTTGGCCTTCTTGTGTTCTCAAAATAACCTTGTAGAGGGGGAAGAAACGCAAGGAATTTATCACAAGTTCTGTTTGAAGAGCCTGTTGGTTCAACAAGAGTTGAAGCTGTGACATATTTATGTACTTTGAGGAGTCAGTACTTAGCAATGCTTGTTTTTTGGTGGTACAAGACCTGTCTCTGCAGCTCTTGTCTCGAGGAACCACTGAACATGGTGACATGAGGTGTCATTGGGTCCTGGCTGCAAATGGCTGTGGTTGGGTGTGAGGAGAGACAGGTCATGCAAACCTTTGCTCATATAGGTAAACAATGTCAATTCATTTCCTCTTGGTTAGTAACTCAGTGGAATTAATGAGTGTTGGAGATGTAAGATTTCATCCTTGACTGGATTCCACTGGAGCTGATGCCTCTAGGAATTAGCTTGAAGGTAGCTACAACTATTACGTAAGGGCATTGCCATGTGAGATGTCCTGACTGATTAAACTTCATCTCATATCCATTGCTTTGCATTCAAACATTCAACTCCTTGAGTTATAACAACTCCTTCACATTTTCACAGTGGAAAGGGGAAATCCAGGAGTTCTGCCCAAACACCAAAATGCTCTTGGTTGGCTGCAAGTCAGACCTACGCACAGATGTCAGCACACTGGTGGAGCTCTCCAATCACAGGCAGACACCTGTGTCCTATGATCAGGTATGTGCCACATCTTCCTTTCTGCTCAGGGGTGGAAGATAAACCTCTTTTCTCTCACTGTATCCATCTTTACCATAGTGTCATAGTATGTTAAGGGGTTGGAATGGAGCTTGGAGATGATCCAGCCCCAACCCCTGCCCTGGGCAGGGACACCTCCCACCAGAGCAGGTTGCTCAAGGCTCATCCAACCTGGAATGAACACTGCCAGGGTTGGGGCAGCCACAGCCTCCCTGGGCAACCTGGGACAGTGTCTCACCACCCTCACAGCAAAACCTTCCTAACAGCTAATCTAAATTTCCCTCTTTCAATTCCTCCCCATTGCCCCTTGTCCTGTCCCTGCAGCTCCTAACACAGATCTCTCTGCAGCTTCCCTGGAGCCCCTTCAGACCCTGAAGGTGCTCTGAGGTCTCAGCACAACCTTCTCTTCTCCAGGCTGAACAGCCCCAACTCCCTCAGCCTGTCCTCACAGGGAGATGCTCCAGTGCTCTCAGCAACTTTGTGGCCTCCTCTGCACTTGCTCCAAGAGTTCCATGTCCTTCTGATGTTGAGGACATCAGAACTGTGTGCAGAACTCCAGATAGATTTCCCCAGAGCAGAGTACAGGGGGAAAATCACCTCCCTTGACCTGCTGCCACACTCCTGTGGGTGCAGCTGAGCTTTTCCCCCCCGATACCCTGAGTGCAGCCTGGGAGACAGATGTGCATGTTCAGTAGTTGGAGGTGAATTTGAAAGCTGTTAAGAGTAAAGGCCAAGCCTGCCCAGGGATTAGATGCAGCAGCAAATCCTTCAGCCCCACACCACATGCTATAGGCATCTGAAGATCATAGCCTTATTGGTGACAAAGAGTTTTGTAAGTGAATTGCAAATGAAGTTACCTCTTTCTGTCCCTGCAGTAACTGACAGGTGACATTTACTGACAAATTGGGAAAATTGCTGCCTTCAGACTTGAGATTTGAATGTAATTTGTTTGGCTTTAGCACCATGAGAAGTATTTGCATATAATCTGTCCCCTCTGAAATCCTGATACCTTGAAACACCTGTGAAGGCACCTGGTGCTCCCTCTGAGGGTGGCAGCAAAGCCAGAAATCATCTCAATTCCTGGCAGCAGTTCTTAGGTGCTGGGGAAAGGAGAAGGTTGGAGCCAGAGGATAGAGAAGGTGAAAGGGAAAGGAATCAGCTCATGGGGGAGCAGGATGTTGGGAATGGGGATAAACTTCCCTCTATTACTCACCTGTGTTACCATGCAGAGCAGGTGAATCACAGTGCTGGTGTCACATCCACCCTGTAAGAGGCAGTGGCACCTCCAGGAGCAACTTGAGTGTCTATATCCTGTGCCATCAACCAGGTTTTGATGTTTTATTCACAACCTGAGAGTTCCCAAACCAGCAGCTCCTAATATGGGATTGCTAACAATGCAGCCTCCTGCAGCATGTGTACATGGAAAATTACAGTGCCTCAGTAAACACCAAGTCTCAGCCCTTCCCAGAGAGTGATCAAACTTCTCCTGGCAGGTGGGTTTGTCCCTTGGAGTTGGATTCACATCCAATCTGGCATCGCAATTCAGCCTGTACCCCTGAGGTACAGGCAAAGGGCTGAGCCAGGAGCTATTACTTGACATCCAGAGGGAAAATTGTCTGTGTTCCAGGGAACCCCATACTTCATCACACTCCCATAATTTCCTCTGTACTCTTTGTAAGCAAAAGCTTAGGCTGAGCAGTGGTTGGTACCTTTTGTGGCTGCCAAATTCCTGGTAGCATGAAAGAACCCAACTCTTTCCTGCTCTGGGTCCTCTGGGGTCAACACACACAGCTTATCCTTAATTTCCCTAGGTCAACATGGGACCAGAGACTTTACTGTGGGTTTTCCCATTCCTTTCAGTTTTACCAGGAAGCACTGGGAGGATAAAGACATGATGGTGCCACCCTCCTCCCCCAGTGTGTTAGCCAGTTCCACTGAGCTACACCTGAGCAAACACTTGTGAGGTTCTGTGGCATAGGTTAGTAGGAGTAGAGATGTTTAACTGTGGGGAGGGCTCAGCCTACAAGCTGATACTCCTTTATTAACCACTCCCAGTTCACATTGATAAGTGGCTGCATCACTGCAGGGTAAACAGTGTGTGCTGGAGATTGGATCTGAAGAGATCAGTGCCATCAGCCTGGCACTGGAGCAAAGAGGAAGGGTTGGAGCAGCTTGTGCCCAGGAATATGTGAGGAGTGGCACATCAAGGATGTGGTTGGATTTCATAACTTGCTAAAGACTCATCCCTCAGAAGGAAAATCCCATTGAAGCAGCTCCATTTCTTTCCACATAATGCTGGATTGTGTTCCAGCAGCAAAATCCACAACAGGGTGCTGAGGTATTGTCATCTGCCAGAGTCACATGTTGTTTTCCTTGTGCTGCTGGAACAAATATCACTGATCTGACTTCCAATGCACTTAAAAAAAAGAAGAGCTCCTATAACCCCTAATGTCCTTCTTTCTCTTTTTTGCTTTGCCTGTTTCCTGACTGAAAGCTGATAAACTCTCCCCAAGCCAACAACCCACAGCACATTCCTCTCTGACCTTTGCCCCCTTTGTGGAGCTGTAACACAGGCTCTGCTCCAGCTCAGGGGCAGCTGCTTATTCCTGAAGACACGGAATACATTTCTATTTGGAGATAGGCTGAAATCTGGAAGGTGCCAGCTCCAGACCTTTCCCAGGAGCAAGTGACTCATGGATGCAAGTTGAGGTGTAAGGGTGAAATTGCTAAGTAGGCCCCACTAGGACTGTCCTGGCTTTGTGCAGTTGTTTGCAAACTTATCTCCCCTTCCAACTGCTGTTTATCAGCAGAGGAGACAATGTTTGGATACTTGTTTAGCTCCTCTTGGAAGCAAAGCTCTGTTTGTGTTGCAAAATTAGCTGCTGGCTGGAGTGCTGGAGCTTTAGCTGGTGTGCTGAAAAGGAATTGTGTGGTTTGCTTTGGCTCTCTCAGAAACTTGGTATTGATCACATGTTTTCTTTCTTCCCCTTAGGGTGCAAATATGGCCAAACAGATTGGAGCAGCCACATACATTGAATGCTCAGCCTTACAGTCAGAAAACAGTGTCAGAGACATTTTCCACGTTGCCACCTTGGCTTGTGTGAACAAAACAAACAAAAACGTGAAACGAAACAAATCTCAGAGGGCAACAAAGCGAATTTCACACATGCCTGGCAGGCCTGAACTTTCCACAGTGGCCACAGACTTGAGAAAGGACAAAGCAAAGAGTTGCACAGTGATGTGAAGGACCTTGTGGATTTCCTGGAGGAGGAGGAGGAGGAGGAGAGCATCCAGGAGGGGTTGTTGGAGGCTCAATGAAGTACACAGCCACGTGGTATTTAATGAGGGCTTCTGCCAGTGCTTTAATGGAGACTTGGCTTCTTGTTGTGAGACTGTGCTTGGGGACTGAGCAGCGAGAAGAGATGGCTCTGAGGTGGCATCAGGAATTGAAGAAAATGCCAAAAAAAGCCCAACCAAACAAAAAGGGAAAATGTTTGAATGTGCTGAGAGAAGAAAGGGTGAATGGCAAAGGAACACTGCAGAGGAGAGATGGCATGGACAGTGCTTGTTTCTTGTAGTACTCTACTCCTGGATGCTACCACTTTGATTTCATGAAAATAATACGTTAATGGGGTTTTTTTAAAATGAAGACATTTATTAATATGCCCTTCTCATTGAGGAACTATCCCCGTGACCTTCTAGTTGGTTTCCCAAAGGATATGATCTCATTTTTTTAGTAGCTCATTGTGGAAGTGGAGAGGATACTGAGGCCTGTGTGTCACCTAGAGGAAAACACTGGATGGGAGAAGTCTGGAGTTTTGCCTTGCTGAGGCACAATCCACATTGGGGCAGTGTGGATGAAGACAACCCTTGGAGGATTCTCAGTGTTGTTAGGTGCTTTTGCACGGTGGAAATGCAATGGATCCGATTTTGGGCTGTGTGGGGCAAACCTGCCCCAGTTGCAGGACTCTGAGTTGCCATTCCTCTTTGTGATTGTAATGTAGAGAGTGGAAATGATCTCCAGTTCTGGTGTTCTGTGTGGGTATGTCGCTGTAGGTTCAGGTGAAAGGTGCTAAGAGCTATGATGACAAATGATCCTTAGTTTTACTACCATGAGAATTCATTTAAGCCTTACTGCCCACCTGGGGAAGCCCCAGGACTCCTCTCCTGCCAGGAGCTGGGAGAGAGGGGTGGCCCCAGGGATTAGCCCTCTGTAAACACTGCAGAGTGGTGCTATTGTGTGATGTGGTTCCCTGCAATTAGAACCCCAAGAAGCTGCAAATGAGCCAGCAGAGCTCCTTGTGATGCTCTTGATTTTGATTTTGGGGGGCAGCATCTCTCACTGCAGGCTGTGTTTGCTCCTCCGTGCTGAGGAGATGTGGCCTGAAGAACTGTGAGGCCTTAAGGGGTCCCCAGTGTAAACTGGATACTGCCCTTAGTCATTAAGATGAGTACACACCTATCCAAACAGCAATCCTGAAACGTGGGTGAACCACTCAAATATTCCTCTGTGCTTACTGAATCCTTACCTGAAACAAATCAGCCTTTAAAAATGGTTTGCAACTGCTTACTGACCCACTAAACTTCCCAGTTCTCTCCAAAGAAGGAGACTGGAAGCTCTTAAGCAGGGTGGTTTCTGCTTGTGGAGGACAAGCATTCTGTTCCCAAGGGTGATGCTTCATTTTTGAAGTGCTAAAAGCTCTGTTCACATTGACTTGTGCAAGGGAAAGGGTTTGTTATCATTAACTCCTCATTAAAACTCAGTTCTGTGTGTTCCGTCTGAGGAAAGAAGGAGGAAAACACACACCCATTCTTGATTATTTCCCACAAAAAAAAGACATTTTGACCACCATAAATAAGCTTTTTTGACTGATGCAACAGTGCTCTTAGGGCAGTATTACAAAATAGCTGGTAAGTGCTTCTTTCTGTATTTAAATATTGTGGAAAAAAATAAGTTATAACTGTTATAAAGCAGGACATTCATTACCTTTTTTTTTTTTAATTGTTGAAGTCACTTTGTATGTTTGGTTCATGTTTCTGCAGTATTTATTAAAATACCTTTTTTTTTCCTTTGAATTAAAAAACAACAAGTCATTGACTTGTAGTGGAATTGGCCTTTGTGTGTTAGTTGGTTAAGAGTTGGGTGGTTTGGGGTGTAATTATGCTGAGCTACAGACTGGGAAAGGGGAATGTGATTGGAATAGGAGTCAATCTTCCCATTCCAACAGCCTTTTGGGCTATTGGCCATTGTGTTTCAGTGTCTGCTGTGGGTTATTCATCCAAGTTGTTTCCAAAAAATGCCAGAGGACACTTGGAGCTAACAAACCAGTGGGTTTTGCTTTGATACCAATGCCATGCAGCACTCCAGGCTGGGACAGAGTGGCTGGAGTGCCATGAGGAGAGGCTGAGGGAGCTGGGGGTGTTCAGCCTGGAGAAGAGGAGGCTCAGGGGAGACCTTCTCACCCTCTGCAACTCCCTGACAGGAGGTTGGAGTCAGGTGGGGGTTGGTCTCTTCTCCCAGGCAACCAGCAGCAGGACAAGAGGGCACAGACTCAAGCTCTGCCAGGGGAGGGTTAGGCTGGAGATTAGGAAGAGATTTTTAGGGAGAGAGTGATCAGACATTGGAATGTGCTGCCCAGGGAGGTGGTGGATTCACCATCCCTGGAGGTTTTCAAGCTGAGACTGGATGTGGCACTTAGTGCCATGGGCTAGTGACCACGGTAGGGTTGGGCTTGGTGATCTTGGAGGTCTTTTCCGACCTGATTGATTCCATGATTTTATGAGCTCAATTTTAACAGGTTTCTGTTTGGATGGTTCTTCACTGTGAGTCCAACAGAGCCTCATTCCTAACCAAGGGATGTGCCTGTTGTCTGTCACTGTGGGGGCATTGTGGTGGTTGTGGCTCCTCTGGGAAGAGTTTTCTCAACACATCAGCCCTGCTAGGTGTCCAGTTTGGACACGTGGCATGATGCTGGGGCAGCCACAGTGCAAGGTCTTCTCCTCTTGTAAGTCTAGGTCAAGGCAGGAGAGCTTCCAGGTGTCTCACTTTTGAGTCTCCTGAGGCACAGTGTTTGCTCCACACCTCCAAAGTCCCAGCAGTTGTTTACCTCCCTAATTCCTGTGACCATCCTATGCTGACCTGATTGTTCTTCTCTATTTCTGATGACCAAGCAGGTTGGTGGATGCTGTAATTACAGGAGCAAGGGGTTAATTATCCTTCAGCCTAAAAAGCTGCCTTGTCTTTGACATCTGAAGGTGTCTTGTTTCAGCCTTTGCCTTTCCATCTAGTGACTACATGTGTCAGATTGATGAGCTCTTGATTACTAACTTCAAGTATAACTTGTAGGTCACTGGTCCAAAATTGAGTCACCAGGAACCAAACAGATCAACTCCTCTGTCACTGACTTGGAATCTGTTGCTCTGCAGGGTGTTTCCCAATTAATAGTTAACCAGATGAGTGGTTCTTCTTGGTGCTCTTGGAGGTTTTTGGCATCTTTATCAGAACTCCAAGTGCTGGAGGAGCAGTTGGGCCATTCTTCCTACTAATAGTCCTTTTCTCTTCAGTTTCAGCTTCATCCTAACCCTTCTGGCCTCACATCACCAGTTCTCCATGCCAGGTTCTCTGTGGTTGGTCTTCTTAGCATCTGAAATGGAAATGTCTTGACTTATCCACATTTTTGACTTACCCACATTTTTCTCTTAATACTAAAAAAGAAAGCTGGTTGCTCTGTCCAAAGCCACTAACCTTGCCAACGTTTCTCTTACTGCTTCTAGTTTCATCATTTCCTTCATGCAGAATTGCCAATTTATTTGGTTGTTTACATGAAAGATTTGTGGCTAGATGTGGCCAGTGCAGGTTGAAACCTCTGAGCAGGAGGAGGCTCCAGAGGTTAACTCCTCTAAAACTAGAGCCTGAGTTGAGGTGACATGAGCAGGAACTCCTGATTTTGGTGTTGGTAAGATGATCCCCATCACAGCTCTCCAGTCACTGAAGCAAGGGGTGGATTTGGAAGTATTTTCAGTTGTGGGTTGTGGCTTGGTCAGATGTTTCTCTTCAGCACCATTTGATCCCTGAAAAACAACTTTGGCAGGTGGCCACCACTCAATTTCCTTCCAGAAGCCTCTTAAACTTGTGCAGTTTCTTCTTTGGGTTCTTTTTTTACCCAACTGTGTTGTGCAATCACTGCCAGGAATTACAGTGGGTTACTAAACTCCATCCCCTGCAGAAGATCCTGGGGGATCCCCAGGAGAGCTGTGTCTCTAAACAGGGTGGGCTGGTTTGTGGTGCAGGAATAGAGCTGGCAGCCTCCCTGTGCTGAGGATGTGAGATTCAGCACCTCCTGGCACTGCACACTCAGCACCTCCTCCGTGCCCAATCCTTCCGAGCGAGGGGCAGGGGCCAGCAGGAGGAGGTGGGTGACAAAACCAGGCTTAACATGCCTGAGTTGTGCTGTCTGATGGATATTTATGGGTATTTCCTCCAGACTGGTAGTTGTTTAAAGCTCTAGCAGAGAGTTATCTTGGGATTTGGTGGGTAAATCAGTGGTGGTGACTCCTCTGAGCAGGACCTGCTTCTTGGGAAGAGAACCTGAGGAGACTGAGTTCATTCCTCATCTCTTGGACTTGCAAAGGGAAATGGGGAGAGCTTGGCTCATGAGCAGTTTGATGTTGTCAGTAAGTTTGGTAACTTAAAGCTCTACAGTTATTTTGGGGCTGCTGGGTCTGTGGTGGTGGCTCAGCCTCTGGGGCTGGTTGCAGGTAGGGAGGAGATCCTGAGGGGGAGACAGTTCATCCCTCATCTCTTGGGCTGGTTTTTGGGGCTGATGTGCAGAGAGAAATGGAGAGCTTGGCTCATGAGCAGTTTGATGTTGTCACTGAGATTGGTAACTGCTTGAAGCTCTGCAGAGACAGTTGTTTTGGGACTTGGTGGTGCTGACTCCTCCAGGCAGGACCTGCCTCTGGGGCTGGTTGCAGGTAGTGAGGAGACTGAGCTCATTCCTTGTCTCTTGGACTGGTTCTTGGGGCTGATGTGCAATGGAAAGCCCAGAGACATTGGCTCATGAGTACTTGGAGGCTATCAACATGGCATTTCATTGCCTAATCCCCAGGCTCTCCTGAGGGAGGGATTACTTGCTGCAAAGCAAGTCATTAGTAATTCTCATATCATTGAGTTTCTTCCCACCAAACTCCTTTCTTAGAACAAAAGATTTATTAACCCTTTTTTCCCCCCCAGGGATTCTCCAT